CAAGGGTTAAAATGCAATTTGAGTAATTCTTTTCATCATAAACAATTGCCAAAACAATCTTCCCAACCAAAAATGCCTAAAATTTTTTGAGCAACCATCTTTATCTTCTTTTCATTTTTACAAAGTAAGACATCTAGTACATTTTGTACTTAGATAATGGACTAAAATGATGAACAGACAATGAAACAAGCAAACCTGCTCTGCCACAACTTCAAACTCAAAACCAAGCTGGTTCAAAGCATCAGCATATTGGTCACGGATACCGAGGTTTATGACACTATTTGACAATGATCGACCTGATAATCAAAGAAGCAATTGTCAGTCAAAAGAACAAAAATCTTACAGCTACGTAAGCATGCCAGTGTCAAGGTGAGTGGGTATGTGGGTGTGGGTGTGCTTGTGAGCGTGCGGGTGTCGGTGTAGGTGTATGTGTGTGTGCCTGCATGTGTGTGCCTGCATGTGTGTGTGTGTGAGAGAGAGAGTGTGTTTGTGTGTGTCATTTGCTTTCCTATTGCATGGCCTTTAGGCTTTACTAATACTTTTACTGAAAGATACATTCTACAATCAATGCAGCAACTAGTGAAGAAAAGTCTGTTATTCCATCTCCCAGTTTTAAAAAAGCACGAAACTTGTGGCATGTATGATAGGCTCAAGAGAAGATATGGCACATGTAGCACTAGCTAATTACTAAAGCACATGAAGAAATCAACCATCGCAGGGCGCAACTTAAAAACAGAATGTACCCATAAGAAACTCAAGTGAAAGAAAGTAAAGGCGCTTGGGATCCTTTTTCTTAAAATATCGGTGAGTGTCATGCCACCGTTCAATTAGTCGATCTCTTACACTGTAAGACAATCCCTGCGCATACCAGTACAAAATGAATGGTCATGAAATGTAATATGAGAACTCAAGAATCAAACAGCTTTAATTGCTCTTTAAATGTGCAAACTTGGTGATGGTACATTACATCAAGTCAAACTAGAATGATATTGTCTTGGTCTTCTTCATTGATATAAGAGGAGTATTGAGTCTAAACTCCGCTCCTGACAAGAAGGCTGCATATAACCCTAAGCAAATATACAAATTTATATGCAGAACCTGGAATTTTTTTTTTTTTTTGTTCAGTAGACTCGCATGGCATATGTTAATGAAAAAATAGAATTCATGTCGCTACTAACTGTAGAGGTGTGTGCTTAGATAGGTAAATCATCTCCTTTCCAACCATTTAACTGATTTTATGAGATGGTAATTCAACAAGGATCTGAACTTCAATGCACAGGACCACCAGTAAGGCGAAAGAATAGAATCCAACATTCCAACCAGTACCTAAGAGTTTTAGCGTTCATAATGATAAACAATCTTTCCATCACCAACAGGTTATGCTTCAAGCTTTTAGGATTCAAAAATTTGTGAAATTACACAAAGATCATTCATTTGAGCATGAACTTCTACTAGACTTGCAACAAATTCATATATTACGGAAAGAAGACACTTAAGACGCCTTCATTGTGCATCCCAATTCTCCATCTATCAGGGCACTGTGCATTATATTTGTGGCATCGACCACCAACCAATGAAAACTCTAATAGAACCACAGGAAGGGGAGGGAGGAGCGCTACCTGATAAGCCTCAAAATCATCAAAAATAAACCTTGACCTGGCCACAGTATACTCAACGTGATCAAGAATATCTTTCTGTAAACTAAATGAATCATTCTTTAGAAACGCATCCATGAACCCAAACATTTTCTCCACCTTGGCTTTCCTCTCCCCAGATTCCATCCCCAGCCCAGCTTTCCTCACCACCACCCCCCTTCCACTCACCAACCCCACTCCACCACTCCCACTCACGCTGCCATCACCGTCAATAGCGTCCGCTAATGCCTCCTTAATCCTCTCCAAGCTCTCAGTATCTTCAACCTTCTTCCCATCAGAATCAGTCACAAAAAAACTCTTAACAAAGTACTCTCCTTCCAATTCAACAGTGGCTCTTTCAATTGTGAGGCCAAGGATTTTGAAGGCCCGAGTAATGACCTGGAGAAGTCCAATCCTGTTCCGGGCTCTGATCAAGAAAAGGGTTGAATCCAAACTATCCTCGTTTTGCACAGTGATCATGGTCGACGAGTTTGAGGGTACAGCTGAAGGCGTGGTTTCAGTGAGTTGCCGGGGTTCATTAGTGTCATTGGAGGCTCGAGGTGGGATCAAGTGGCGACCATTGGAGGTGCGGAACCGAACTGAAAATGGGCTGCGTAGATTGCACGGTGGAAGAAGGGAAAAGGGTCTTTGCTGGAGTGATGGCGTGGTGAGAAAAGAGACTGAAATTGCTGCTGACATTACCGTTGTTGAGGTTTTAATGAAAATGGAGGATTTGTTCAATTTGTGATTGACAAATTGTCTAAATAAAGCCTACATTTGGTCTACGGTTGAGTAGAGAATAGGACTGAGGAACTAGTAGAAGCTGCATCCTCCGCTTCTTCCGTTTTCTTTCGTGAGACTGTTTTGGGAACTGGCAAGAAGGAAGGAAGTAGAGGTGGAAGTGAGTGAGATCTTTTTGGTTTTCCGAAGAAGAAACTTCTTTTAGTTAAAAAATCATGAAAAAGGAAGAGGTTTCACGAGAAACTACAAATCTCATCTCACGTGGAGCAAGCGTAACTACTCACCGAAAAGGCTTTTGACTATCGCTAAAAATCAATGAAAGGAAAAGATTAATTACCCTAAGGTCCCTGAACATGACCCGCAGTTGTACTTTGCCAGTTTGCCCCACTCAAGAAAAACTTTGGCACTTAGGTCCTATAGTAAGTGATTTTCATATTTTTTTTCAAGTGATTTCCATCAAAATACCTGATTTAGATATTATTTCACTCCAAGCTGCCCTCTGTTTGAATGTTAAAAGTTTAAAGACAAAATTTATCCTTCAAAATACGGTGTATTAGCAACTTCCAAGATCTTAATTTTTTTAATCTTGTTTCTTTATGGACAAGAAAAAATTTTTATTCTTATAATTTTATGCCATGACAAGTTTTCTATGGTAGTTACTTCATATTTCAATTTCTCAGTTATAGAAATACAATATGGAGTCTAATTTTAGCATCTAAAAATATTGATCAAAAGAAAATAAAATAGCGTAATATTATAGGATATACGCATAAAATAACGTATATTATAAAATAACATATATTATAAAATATCTTTTCATCAAAAATATACCTTCACCTCCTATACTATTGGTCTTCAAGTCCCCTCATTCCGGCTAATTGATTAAAATATAGATACTTGGCAAAAAGTTCTGTCAAATGTGGTCCATCAGCTCCGTGGTATCATTCTATGCCCGTCGCTCCTACATGGCGCGACGGGCAGCAAATTTTTTTTTTTTAAAGTTGTTCTGGCCGTCGCGCCATGTTGGAGCGACGGTCAGAGCTGTCAGAAATTTTCTGACCGTCGCGCAAATATGGCGCGACGGTCAGGAATTTTTTTTTTTTTAAATCTTCTGATATTATTTTGTTTTCGACGATGTTTTATATCTCATCCATTTAATGCATTTCACATGACATTTAATTTAATTTTGTTGTCTACTTTTTCTGTTTAATCCAATCACTTTTAATTTGAATAACATTAAACATTTTCAAAATAAAGAAGTACAAGTTATTTTATTAAACCCTATAATTGGATAGAAGGGTCCCTATACGATAATACCTACAAAACAAATAAATACTAGTTGTTTTACAGCTATTTTAATAGATTAAATTATTAAAACTAATTATCGTATATCAAATAATGACACGCAAATAATTCTTCATTTCTACAAATATGCTATTAATCGTTTTATACGATTACATTTTATATGAAAATTCAAATATATAAATCGTAATTCATATTATAATTTTTCATTTTTTGATACAATTACGGTTCCTTTAACATTCTGTGTGCATGATACATAATAAAGTTAAAATTAACAAATCATAATAATATTAAGCAATACTTTCATCCATTATGCAATCACTTCAATTTAAATCATATTATTAAATCATTTTTTAAATTTAACAAATCATAACAGTTACGCATGTTATATAACTTAAACTTGATAAAATGGTAAACATTAATTCTTTAAGAATTCCCTAAATCCTTTAACAAATGGATCAAATATTTTAAACCTAATCTCCTTTAAAATGCTCAAATTCTTGTGAGCCCAATGTTTGTTTTTAAAATTTTGTCAAACTGTATGCATTGTTTTTAAAACTTTTCATTTTAAATAATTTTTACAGAAAAATTTTTGTCGAATTCCCAATTGAATTGGACAAAGATTAAAAAAAAAGAATTTCTAAATCGCCTGGCTGAAGGATGTTTTATTAAAACAAATTCTAAATTATCTGTAACCGTAAACCCTAACCCCTAACCCCTAACCCTAACCGTAGATGTAACCGTACGAAAAATTTTTCTTTTTTACTGAGGAGGAGGATTTAAAAAAAAAAAAAAAAAACATTTCTGACCGTCGCGCCATGTTGGACCGACGGTCAGGAGATTTTTTTTTTAAAAAAAATTCCGACGGTCGCTCCAACATGGCGCGACGGTCAGAACAACTTTAAAAAAAAAACATTTGCTGCCAGTCGAGCCATGTAGGAGCGACGGGCATAGAATGATACCACAGAGCTGATAGACTACGTTTGACGGAACTTTTTGCCAAGTATCTATATTTTAATCAATTAGCCCCTGATTCCCACCCTTCTAGTACTAGTCCTCAACTATCCTATGGCATCGCGAAGTTTTACGTCGATTCAAAGCAATTACTATGCATTGAAAAGTCTTATGTTGGTTTGGATCAATTATTAGACATGTTCGATGGTTAATTAAAGATCAGTAGAAAAGTTTCATGTGAAAATATATAAATACCTTTGTAAGTCACATTTAAATGGAATCCACCTGATACGTTATTATCTCCCCGTAAAACTCCTTCATTGGTTGGAAAGTAACCTTTTCTGCAGTTGCTCCGACTGACGTAAATTTTTCTAATTGTCAGAGCCGCAATACTCCGGCTGAAAAGACAGACTCCGCGTCTGGAAACTTCGATAACATTCTGGGCTTTTCCGGACTCGTCTCTCTCCTTCTTCTACCCTCCTCCTCACCTTTTAATTCCCCCATCAACTCCTACTGATATACTTGCAATGCAAAATACACCTACTGTCTGAAAGCAAAAGTTAATCATTCATACGCCAACCTTTTCTTCTCGTTCTTCACAAACACTTGTACACAGAACAAGGGAAGTGAAATGGGTGTGGACTATTACAAAATCTTGCAGGTGGATAAAAGTGCGAAGGATGAAGATTTAAAGAAAGCTTATAGAAAGCTGGCGATGAAATGGCATCCTGACAAGAACCCCAACAACAAGAAGGAAGCTGAGGCCAAATTCAAACAGATTTCAGAAGCCTATGAGGTAGTTTACCGACAACATGCAACACACTCCTCTGTTTAATTCCTCTTCAAATTTAATTTCTTTCTTTAGCTTACTAAAGGGCATCCGCACGACATTGGTGGTGTCTTTGAATTGTCTAATAATTTCATTCTCTTAGCTATACTTTTGTTACTGAATTCTGTCTATTTCATTTGGGTTTTAAATTTTAATGCTTCTTGATATGAATGTTCTCATTTCGGAGAAAAGTGCCAACATTTCTGTCTTCAGGATTGCTTTTGTTGACTAATTAATAATGCCACCTTCTTCAGAGTGCTCATGGCATTGAAATTTGATCATGTACCATAGGTTCAGGATTTGGCTCTCCGTTTGTTGAAGATTATTCACAACAATAATGACTCTAGACCACATAAAAATCTACTCTTGGCTGACGTCGATATGTCTGCTTTTCATTTCAAAGATAAGGATGCATCTGTGATTCTGTGTGATTGAATAAGATATTGATCTAGTTGATTCTTTGGGTTTAGGTATTAAGCGATCCTGAAAAGAGGGCCATCTATGATCAGTATGGGGAAGAAGGCCTAAAAGGGCAAGTGCCGCCACCTGGTGCTGGTGGGCCTGGCCGGGCGACGTTCTTCCAGACTGGAGATGGACCAAATGTGTTCAGATTCAATCCCAGAAATGCGAATGATATTTTTGATGAATTTTTCGGTTTTTCGACTCCATTTGGTGGGATGGGAGGTGCTGGTGGCATGAATGGTGGTGGTACAAGGTTTCCTAGTTCAATGTTTGGAGATGATATATTTAGTTCATTTGGAGAGGGTAGAACCATGAATTCGGTTCCTTGGAAAGCACCGCCAATCGAGCAAAATTTGCCTTGCAGTCTCGAAGAGCTTTCCAAGGGAACTACCAAGAAGATGAAGATTTCAAGAGAAATAGCTGATGCAAGTGGGTAAGTGTTAATCTAGGCATTCATCATAATGTTACTAAAAGTCATATTTTATGTTGCCAGCATATCTTTCGTGATCAACAACTCAGTTGCTTCTGTTGATGGTCGGGTCGGGGTTTATGTCATAGTAACTTAGGCTTATCCTATGGCTTATGCCTGAAGTTGTGCATCGCTAAAAGAGCATTGCATGGAAAAAACTCTCTATCTTGAATACTCTTGCAACAGATGTTCAGCTAGAATTGATGTTGTCGTAGTTTATAAGTGTGATTCCTCTCTGGTTGGGGCTATTGTGCGTCTTAACAGCTGATGTTATTCTTCTGCAGGAAGACGTTACCAGTACAGGAGATTCTGACCATTGACATCAAGCCTGGATGGAAGAAAGGAACTAAGATTACATTTCCAGAGAAGGGGAATGAACAACCAAATGTTATTCCTTCAGATCTGGTATTCATAATTGATGAAAAACCACACAGTGTGTTCAAAAGAGATGGCAATGATCTTGTTGTCACACAGAAGATATCACTTGCTGAAGCATTAACGGGGTGCACAGTCCATCTTACGACGTTGGATGGGAGGAAATTAACTGTACCTATCAACGCTCCCATTCATCCTGATTATGAAGAAGTCGTCCCAAGAGAAGGGATGCCTATTCCAAAAGAGCCCTCAAAGAGGGGTAATCTCAGGATCAAGTTCAACATCAAGTTCCCAACCGGGTTGACGGCTGAGCAAAAGTCGGGAATCAAGAAGTTGCTTTCTCCTTGAGGTTGCGCTCCACATCTTCCTTTTGTCCATTCTTCCTACCCCTGCCCTTCTCTCTTTGTACCTTTGTATGATTGCATTGCTTGCACGCTCCACTCGAGTTAAAAGGGAAAATGCAATGTATGAGGCAGAAGATAGTGTAATATATCTATCGGGTTTTTGGTATCTTTCTTAGCGGTAGTTTGAAAGGGTTGTGAGCTACCTTGTATTGAAAGACAATTCTAGGGTCATAGATGATGCCTTGATGTTATGCACAACGAATGTGTACATGAGGTGATGGCAGTCGACAGGTTAAAAGTGTAAAATGAGAGTCAATCATTGGCTACTAAATGTGCGTGTTGAACTACTAAATGTGCGTGTATGGTGCCACCTGATTGCTAGCTTTCGGTTAATTTGTTTCGCCTCGTGTCTTTCTTCCAAACTGTATTTGATGAAAGATGTGCAAAAGGTGATCTGACGATGATTTGGACGTCAAAGACATCAAATGCAGCAGCATTTCTGCATTCCTAGGTAGTACCACCTACAAAGCTGGACAAAGAAAATGGTGATTAGGAAAGCATCGAAACTTGCTCAGACCGATGCAACTGATCAGAGCAATCTATTCACCTCCTGAGAGGATGAACCACGCACGCCTAACTAAATTTTTTCATTGCTCTGACTTGTTTGAAGTAGCAGATTTTTAGTAGCATATATTTTTGTTCGATGACATGGTTAAGTTCCTCGAACTTTTTACATAGTTATGTTGACTTCAAATTCATCCACTAATAAATGAATTTTTACGCCTCTATGCATACGAGGATAAAAATGAAACCTCTGCGCATACGAGGATAAAAATGAATAGAAGAGAACATTTTCTCATTATGACCAACACGGTGGGATTTGGCAAATGCGGCCACAAAGAAAGAAAGAAAGAAAAGCTAATGGGCTGGCCAAACACTCGGGTACTAATTAAACTTTAGTATTGATGTACGTTCTTGTAACCAGACCGACACTCTCGGTTAGATTTACTATTGCTTTACGGTTATACACAATAGAACAAAAAAAACCTAAATCTGCCCTCATCAAAGAATACAAAAGAATTTAAAAGAATGTGACCGAGGAGGACCTTTCTGATCTACAACCGTCCGTCAGACTGGCCACCTCCCTAATTGGGTCACCAAAATTTGTTAACCTCAATCACTGTAATCTCCAGACACCAAGGAGTCGGAGCCTTCATCATCAACATTATCGTCGCCCTGTCTATCAGAATCATAATCATTTATGCCTATATCTCCTTCACCATCTTCATCACCGCCATTATCATCCTCACTATCATCCCCCTCCTCGTCACTCATTTCCATCATTTCACTGTTTCTGTGAGGAGCAACAGTAAAACCAGCGTCCCATTTTCCGAAATCATATGTAGTTTCAGGTGCATTGTCATCCGAATCAACACCGTCATCCGTGCTGTTACTGTTGTCTTCTGTCTCTCCGACGTTTTTATTTACAACTCTCTCTGCACCAGCTGTGTGTCTTGGTAATCCTGACACAATTCTAATGCTGCCCCTATCACCTAAACGACCTGGCAACGTCTCCTCAGAGAATTTTTTCTCAGTCCTCCTCTTCCTAACAGTTCTGCGACCTCGTCCATGTTTGTGTCCATATGATCTCTCTCCCTGCTGCATTAGAGCCTCGGTCAATGTCCCACCATGTTTTAAACTTCGTCTTCCGGATTCCGATACAGATCCAGCAAATCCTTTCGGCCACCTTCCACGAGGACGACCACTTCCCCGCCCACGAATGACTTGCTTATAATCAGAGCTGCCAGATGCATTGCCTGTATAGTCCCAAGTTTCTTCTTTCAGCTGCTGTTTATCCCGCTTCGAATCCGTTGTTGGAACTTTTTGAGTATCCCCTGTATTTGAATATTTTGAGGGAACCTTCTGTGCGTCGACAAAACACTACAAAAAGTGAGTATACAAAAACTTCCAGCAAACCGAGAACAAACTCTGACAAAATACTGACATGAATAGTTCAAAACATGAGGTAGTCCAATGCTCAAAAGGTAAAATGTGGAGGACGCAGAAAAGATGCAAGGGAAGATAACTCAACTATCAAATTCTCCACTTTCTTTTCATCAGGAAGCTTGGGCTTCTCATGTTGACCGTGTAAAATTGAAGTGTCAAGCTCCAATAACCTGAGAGCCACAGCAGAAGTGGTTTGCGGTATCCAAGGAAGTTGAGAAACTGATCCACGATGAGCAAAATCATAGCCAGAAACTTTTGATGAGGCACAATAACACAACAACTCCTCTGTTGTCTCAAAACTTGATGATAAATAATCACGTTTTATGGCACCCTCAAATTGTGTCAGAATCTGCACAAAAGATGTACCCTTTCAGAAACCATATTTATCCCACAGGGAATTTAAAATACCAAGCTTCAAAACTAAACATGACATGCCATACTGGCACTGCAACTTGCTATTGGTTAAACAGAGTACTATACGATGAAACTGCAACAAGACATTCACCGAATTAATAGCATCCAGAACTGCACATTGAATGATTCCTGGTTCAGTAGAATATCAGGACCAAAGATGAAATCAATTTTCAAAAAATAACTACTTTTTCTGGACAAATTCCAGTATCACATTTATGGATCCATCTACAAAGTTAAAAAAATCTGAACTTGATCTTTCATCTTTTGCTTCCAGGAATTTTAGTAGAAAGAATAAAGCAGATTCAACACTTAGCAATTAGTCAGCCTTGTTTGACTAAGTCCTCAAGTAGTTTAGATGAAGTTCTCAGCGGAAAGTTTTCAACAACCTGTAAGAGATCATCAGTGCGTGATGCATTTAGAAGCTTTGCGGCCCAGATCTTCCTCAAGTCTCCTGTCCAAGAAGATTGAAGGGCATTGTGTGGAACAGAAGCCTAACATAAAGAACATCAAATTTTTAATGCAATAAGAAAGACCTGTAAAAGAGTCAATCAACAATGCAGAGACTAACAAGAGCAAATTTGTACATGTTAAGACACACTAATCATTCTCACCTCAAGGGAATTTAACAACACCTTGATCAACCGGATTCTGAGAGGATGAGAAGAATTTGAACCACCAAAATTCAATGGCTCAACTTTCACTTTTTCTTCATGAATTGTCTGTTCGACTAAGCCTTCTTTATTACCAACCTTACTGGTTGTATGGCAGGAATGGCCATGGCACTCTACATTCATGTAAGAATCAAAACAGAGGTGGCATGTTCCTAATAGCGGTGTGCACCTATTCTTTCCATAAGTCAAGGAACGCAAAACAGAGGAATTGAAGCATTCCCTCCACATCCAAATTTGAAAATCTTCATACCTTTTCAGTGCATTCTCTCTCTCTGTTTCATTTCTCCCTAACTCAATTTTGAATGAGGATGACGGTTCCAATGAATCGGAGTTCATACCACACACTGTACTACTTGGACTGTCAAGACCAGAATTACAACCTGGACTAGAACTTACTTCAGCAAGTTCATCTCCAGTTTTCATTCCTTCTTTCCCTTCAATACAATTAAATGACAAATTCTTCCGGACACGTTCACGGAAAGGAACCTCAATCTTCTGCAACATTATATGCAGATGAGATTCCCTAATGCCACGCATATCCAACGATGTGGATAGTGCATCAAACGCCTGCGTATATCAGACAAATGTAAAAGTCAATCAATGGAAAAATGCTTTGCCTAAGGTGGCCAATTGCATAGGTGCTTAAAACGTAATTAACATAACAAAATATTATTAACCTCTCGCCTTCTAAGAAACCAGTCTTACAATAACACAAACAAATTTTTTTCCCCTTTTTGGGTAGGTATAACACAAACAAATTGACACAAAGCATTTCTTCTTTATACGATCTTTCCCTTAAAACTTGTCCCTATTCAATTAAATGTCATCATTTATGCCTGTGAACATGCAATGTAATGTACCAAAATGCAGTCTCAAAATCTCAAATACTGCTTTACACACAACAGATGCCACTCTCCTTTGTGATAATTAACAGAAAGGCATTCGGATATTTTGACTTATTATCACCACCAGAGATAATCCCACAAAATTGAGAATAACAGAATTCATGAAAAACATACATCATATTTCCCTGTTTGGCAAATGCTAAATCGCATTGCAAACCCACCCACCCAGCACCCCCCAAGAATCTAAAGAAAAAGAAACAAAGAGTAACGTGTGGGAGAGAAGTATGAAAAGCAATAGACAGGAAAATGGAAACTTCAAGTCAGAAGGTAAAAGCCCCTTACAATCTAGTATGTGCAAAAGACAGAAAATAGAATTAGCAACCCACTCCGACCAAAAGCAACATAACAACCAAGAGATAAGAATCCAAATGCTGAATAAACAAACAAGTTGGAAACACATTTCCCCACTCAGGAAGAAGAAGCGGTGGGGAAGAAGAAAATAACATTAATCCTACCTCTTCAGAATCCAATAGCCTCCAAAAGCCATCAGGAGATTCCACAAAAATCCTACCAGAACCAGGATCATGGCTTGAAGGAGACGCAACAAATAGCCAATAACGGTTACGCCTTCTATCTGAGCCAAGAGGTAGGGACCTGTAAACATACATCTCTTCTGCTATATGTCCAATAAAAGCTTTCATCTGCATGCGTGACCTCTCTGCTGTGAAATTGTTTTGCTGGATTGAGTTACTAATCTGGGCAAAAGAAGCGTCATTGGTGAAAGAACTCTTTTCTATGGCAAGAGTGTCAACGTGATTATGAGCATTGTCCAACCCACCAGCAGGCTCATCCTTCTCCATGAGATCTAGTGATGCTTCACCATTTCTATTATCGACTAAACCTAATGGGCTTTGGCTGCCCTCCATGGCAGTAGCACCATAATTAGATTCACTAAACTTAGTTATAATCTCTTCTTTCATGCGCCTCTTATCCAACTGTGCTTCAGTCCACATCTGCTTCTTGATCGCATTGGCTGCATCCAGTCGATCCTGCAAGATTATCATCAGCCAACATTAACCTCATTTCTTTCTATGAAGCTGCTAAGGATATTACAAAATGGTCAGATATATGACCTCAAGGATTACACGGATAGAATTCCCTTCGTTTGCAATGCCAACCAAGATAACAAGAGCATTGAGGCGCTCCTCCACAGATAATTCAGAGTATTCTCCTTCAGTAAGTCCTTGAACCCATGGCTCCCCAGACCTACTTTCATCAATCTCAGCTGCCTGGTCAGAATTACTTGCTCCTGCAGCTTTATCAAAAACCAGTAGATCATCAATATACTTAGTGGAGAATCCATGTTAACCAACAGAGAATACAGGAATATTACAAAGCATCAACAAGTAAAATAACAAATCTCTATTACCATCAGAACCAAATTCATTTTCTACAG